TACCGCCCGTCTTGGAACGAAGTTTCAAAAAAAAAATAATAATCGCAGGAGGCGGGGAAGACAACTTGGACGCAGCCGCCCGCCGTGATGCTTCCGCTTAAAACTAAATTAATTAAGTATAAAAACAGAAGTAAATAAGTCGCGAACGCGCGCAATAATTTGAGAAGTGTACAAAGAAAGAAATTAAACGCGAAGACAGAGCTAAGTCTGTTGAGCTGAGGCGCTTTCGATCGGAAGAAGACAGAGTTTGCCGATAGGTCGTACATATTGTGAAGTCGCGGTTTTAACGGTGACGACGCGACTGAGCCCGTCTTTACCGGGATGCAAGACAGTAATGCGGCCGAGCTCCCACTTGCACGGGGGGAGAAGCGGGTTCCGTAGAAGAACCATTCTGCCAACTGAGAGCGCAGGTTGCACCTTGCGCCATTTAGCGCGCTGCTGGAGCGTATTTATGTAGTCCTGCATCCAACACGTCCAAAATCGCTCGTTGAGTTGACGCACTAGTTGCCATCGGGAGAGGCGGTTCTCTTTCAGGTTAAGAAGAGACGGCTCAGGCGGAACAGTTATCGAGGAGCCGATAAGAAAATGACCAGGCGTTAAAAATTGAAGATCGTCCACGTCATCGGATAACGGGGCGATGGGCCGAGAATTAAGGCACGCTTCGATCTGACAAAGAAAAGTAGAAAGCTCTTCAAATGACAGAGTGTGATCACCGAGAACGCGACGCATATGGTGTTTGACACTTTTCACCCCGGCCTCCCATAAGCCGCCGAAATGAGGGGCGGAAGGCGGGATGAAATGCCAAGAAATTTTGTCAAGCGCCGTATCGTTTCTAAAATTTGAATCGCGGAGAGCAGATCGAAGAGATGCCGTTAATTCTCGGTCGGCACCGACAAAGGTGGTGCCGTTGTCTGAGTAGACCGCTTGAGGAAGTCCACGGCGCGAGCAAAATCTTTTGAACGCGGAAATGAATGCGCCGGTCGAGTAGTCGCTGACTAATTCGATATGGATTGCGCGAGTGGCTAAGCAAATAAATAAAGCGACATAGGCCTTGTGGGACTTTATACCTCGACCAGACGACGAACGCACCTTGATCGGACCGGCATAATCGACGCCCGTGGAGGCGAAGCAGCGGTGAGGAGGGGTGACTCGTACGGCGTGTTGTGCCGTCGACTGGGTCGGGGCACGGTATTTGGGGGATCGTTGCCGGGATAACAACTCGCAACTGCTTAGGCCATAAGGCAGTATTTTAACCAAAAGTCCTTTTTTATTAAAATCTATACAGAAACGTACACTCGTGTGGTTTAATTAAGAATGACCCGCCCTGCCTTCTTTCCATTCGTTTTTATAATCGGCTGTTGTCAGGCCGTTTATTCGGAATTTCGGACCTGTCGCCAGGTCGGTTCTAACAAGTCAGCAGTGGCTTCGTCAGCACTGCCGACTTGGTTCCGATGGGTTAATGTCCCATCGTCTACTTCCTTCTTCGCACGCGGCAGATATTTGATACTCTGCTGCGTGCGCTATAGCTGCGTGGCAATGAGGCGTTTTCGCGCTCATTACACCCTTCCCCCCTAATGGAAAGAAAGTGAGGTGGCGAACTTTATTTTTACCCTTATTCTTAAATTCTATCGGATACATGGGTATTATGTAATTGTATTTTTACTCTTAGGCTGGGCTGTTTTCCGCTATGACAACAGGCTTCGTTACTTTCCTTTTCTTGTTTTTTAGTTTC